GACCTCCAGGACTTTGAACTCTGCTTGGAGAAAACTGTGGCCAGATTGTGTCCAAGAGAGAGATTTTGAAGAGTTTGAGGCTGACCCTGACTCTACCGACCCTGTGGACTCTATTGTAGCACTGGGGAAGTCCCTGGGGTTGGAGGTGAGTGGCGAGGATGTGGAAGAGTTGGTGGAGGACCACAGGGAAGAGCTAACCACTGAAGAGCTGCAAGAGCTTCATCTCGAAGAGCAACAGACTGCAGCTGAGAAACTTGCTTCAGAGGAGGAAGAGGGAGTGAAGGAGGTGCCTTCTTCAGAGATTAAAGAGGTGTGTGCAGTGTGAACTAGGGTGCAAGCTTTTCTAGAGGAACACCACCCTGGCAAAGCTGAAACAAGCCATATCTGCAACATGCTTAGTGACAAAACCCTGTCTCACTTCAGGGAAATCTTAGAGATGCCAGAAACAGAGCACTCTGGACAGTTATTTTGTGAGACAGGGGTCCAGTGACTCAAGCTGGTCCTAGTGGCAATAAAAGACAGAGAAGGGAAGTAACCCCAGAGAAGGCTTTGCTACCTAAAGCTTTTGTGGAGGGGGATTCCCCTTCCAAACACTAACTCCTCCCTCTTTCCTCCTCCCTATCATCCAGAAGCCAGCATTAGCCTTCAATAAAGGTATGTAATACTTAGATAATTGTTAAATTCTTTTTTGTGTGAATATTTTTGTTTGGAACGGATTAATTGTATTTCCATTAATTATTATGGGAAATATTAATTCGGTTATCGGCCAACCTTCTGGAACGGATTTCGGCCGATAACCGGGGGTCCACTGTATGTGGAATAGGTAGTAAGATACTAAATGCTGTAAAGAGTCTTTATGAGGATAGTGAGGCTCAGGTTAGGGTGTGTAGGAGAGGAGGAGGTTATTTCCCGGTAAAAGTAGGTCTTAGACAGGGATGTGTAATGTCACCATGGTTGTTTAATATATTTATAGATGGGGTTGTAAAAGAAGTAAATGCTAGGGTGTTGGGGAGAGGGGTGGGATTAAATCATGGAGAATCAAATACAAAATGGGAGTTGACACAGTTACTTTTTACTGATGATACTGTGCTTATGTGAGATTCTAAAGAAAAGTTGCAAAGGTTAGTGGATGAATTTGGGAGGGTGTGCAATGTGAAAGTTGAAAGTGAACATATGTAAGAGTAAGGTGATGAGGGTATCAAATGATTTAGATAAAGAAAAATTGGATATCACATTGGAGAGAGGGAGTATGGAAGAAGTGAATGTTTTCAGATATTTGGGAGTTGACTTGCCAGTGGATGGGTTTATGAAGGATGAGGTTAACCATGGAATTGATGAAAGAAAAAAGGTAAGTGGTGCGTTGAGGCATCTGTGGAGACAAAAAAAAGGTTATCCATGGAGGCAAAGAAGGGAACATACGAAAGTATAGTGGTACCAACACTCTTATATGGATGCGAAGCTTGGGTTGCAAATGCTGCAGCGAGGAGGCGGCTGGAGGCAGTGGAGATGTCTTGTCTAAGAGCAGTGTGTGGTGTAAATATTATTCAGAGAATTCATGGTGTGGAAATTATGAGGAGGTGTGGAGTTACTAAAAGTATTTGTCAGAGGGCTGAAGAGGGGTTGTTGAGGTGGTTTGGTCATTTAGAGAGAATGGATCAAAGTAGAATGACTTGGAGAGCATATGAATCTGTAGGGGAAGGAAGGCAGGGTAGGGGGTCTTCCTAGAAAAGGTTGGAGGGGAGGGAGTAAAGGAGGTTTTGTGGGAGAGGGGCTTGCACTTCCAGCAAGTATGTGAGAGCATGTTAGATAGGAGTGAATGGAGACGAATGGTTTTTGGGACCTAACAAGCTGTTGGAGTGTGAGCAGGGTAATATTTAGTGAAGGGATTCAGGGAAACCAGTTATTTTTTATATAGTCGGACTTGAATACTGGAAATGGGAAGTACAATGCCTGCACTTTAACCCTTAAACTGTCCAAACGTAGATCTACGTTCACATGTGTAGCGCTTCGACCTAGATTTTCTCCATTTGAAAGCATATAAAAAAAAATGTAGATCTACGTTTGGAGCCCACCGCACGTGGATGTAGATCTACATTTGGACAGTTTAAGGGTTAACCCTTTGACTGTTTCAGGCCCCTCTCTGAAACTGTCATTCTATGTCGCTCAATTTTTGAAAAAAAAAAAAATTATTTTTTCTTATGAAATGATAGAGAATCTTTTCCCGATGGTAATGACACCAAAAGTTCGAAATTTGGTCGAAAACTCGTGGAATTATGCTCCCGCGAAGTTAGCGGTCTCGGCGACATATGCGTATCGGCGATTTCGCCGACTTTGAGCCCTATTTTCAGCCAATTCCATTGTTCCAGTTGACCAAACTCATAGCTATTTCTTTAGAACTCCATTTTATCTATCAGCTGAGTACAAGAAACCTCCCATTTACTAATTTGGACTACCCAATATGGTGGTCAGAAATTGGCAATTTGGCCAATTTCACGCAAAATAAAAAAGATGCCAATTTCAAAATAGGGTCCAGAATAAACAAGGTAGACATTCGTGGCACTAAAATAACATATGCTCTGTTCATTAGTCACATCTCTAGGCCCCTCTTATATTATTATTGCTTTCTATTTTGATTTTTTATTCAAACCAAAAAATACAAAATTTACTGTTATGCAGACGACTGCATTATTGTAAAAATGGTATAAATAATATCAGTGCACTAGTGAAGGAATATTAGACTCCCCAGTTGATGTGTATTGGTCGTGTGGTGTGATTTATTTACTCTTGAACATTGGTAAAAATCGAACATTTCCGCTACTTTGAGCTCAGTTTCAAGGTCGTTTTCATCGTAAAAGTAATGGAAATCATCTCTATTTCTGTAATATGTTTTCCATTTTATCACCTAAGACCATGAAAACGCGAATACAACGATAAATACTATACGAAAATACACCTCAAAGTCGGCGTTTTATTCCAAAAAAACGATCAGTTTTTTTTTTCTCATTACGCAATGTGTGCTGCAGGATTTTTTTTATGTGGTGCACACTGACCACACAGACCCATTCTCTCACATATGGGCCTACCAGCTTTCTCCCACTTGATTTGAAGCCGCTAGAATTATTGAGTATATATACGTCAGAAACATTGGCTCGTAAGACGTATTTATACGTCGAAAACAGTCAAAGGGTTAAAGGAGGGGTTTGGGATATTGGCAGTTTGGAGGGGCATGTTATATATCTTTATATATGCTTCTGAACTGTTGTATTCTGTGCACCTTTGCAGAGACTGTGATTATGTATAAGTGAGGTGAAAGTGTTGAATGATGATGAAAGTATTTTCTTTTTGGGAGAATTTTTCTTTTTGGTTCACGCTGCCTCGGTGGGAGATGGCCGACTTGTTGAAAAAAAAAATTAAGAAAAGATGTAAGAGGATGACTGAAAGGAGGATCTTGGAGAGAGAATAAGAGCCAAGGAAGGTAGTGATTTCTATATATTTTTATTTCATAAAAAAAATGTGAAATGTACTGTGATAGTCTTGTGAAATGTATCTATTTAATAACACAGTTTTTAATCGTTGTGTAGTTGTAACCCATCTCAGATTTTCCCTTTTCTTCTCTGATCTTCGCTTCTTCAGCTGTTGTCGTAGACCTGGTTAAATATTTACTTTTGATGTACCTTTGATGGGTTTCAAGAGTTTGTCTACTATGCAGTCAGGCCCCACACCAGGCTTGTTTGTTGTAAATATTTTTGCAATACTTTGTGAGGTAGAGAGACAAGGGGAGATAAAAATTTGGTTTAAAGTCAGGAGAAACAAATGTGATTCAGTGCAAAATACAAGAAAAAATATGATTAAGGTCATTATAGAAGCTATGATATAAGGTCAAGTGTTTTTTTTTTTTTTTTTTTAACATGTCGGCCATTTCCCACCAAGGCAGGGTGACCCAAAAGAAAGAAAAACCCAAAAATATAGAAAAAACTTTTATTATCAGTCAACACTTTCACCATCACTCATATATAATTACTGTCTTTGCAGAGGCGCCTAGATACGACAGTTTAGATAGTCACTCCAAATTGCCAATATCCCAAACCCCTCCTTTAAAGTGCAGGCATTGTACTTCCCATTTCCAGGACTCAAGTCCAGCTAACCAGTTTCCCTGAATATTACCCTGCTCACACTCCAACAGCTTGTCAGGTCCCAAAAACCACTTGACTTCATTCACTCCTATCTAACACATTCACGCATGGTTGCTGGAAATCCAAGCCCCTCGTCTACAAAACTTCCTTTACCCCCTCCCTCCAACCTTTTCGAGGACGACCCCTACCCCGCCTTCCTTCCCCTACAGATTTATATGTTCTCCAAGTCATTCTACTTTGATCCATTCTTTCTAAATGACCAGACCACCTCAACAACCCCTCTTCAGCCTTCTGACTAATACTTTTAGTAACTCCACACCTCCTCCTAATTTCCACACTATGAATTCTCTGCATAATATTTACACCACACATTGCCCTTAGACAGGGCATCTCCACTGCCTCCAGCCGCCTCCTCGCTGCAGCATTTGCAATCCAAGCTTCACATCCATAAAAGAGTGTTGGTACCACTATACTATTGTACATTCCCTTCTTTGCCTCCATGGATGACGTTTTTTGTCTCCACAGATACCTCAACGCACCAAATCTTTTTCCTTCACCAAATCTATGGTTAACCTCATCCTTCTTAAACCCATCCGTTGGCAAGTCAACTCCCAAATATCTGAAAACATTCACTTCTTCCATACTCCCTCTCTCCAATGTGATATACATATGATTTATGGGCAGGAGAGATGATCCAGTTTAATTTTAATTATAGTGAGGGTGAGTTGTATTCTTATGAAGTATTCAAGCTAGAAAATTTAAAAAAATATAATGAAGTTTAATCTTTTGATGTTATTATTCTTCTTCAGTTCAGCACTTCAAAAAAATTTCTTAATATTTATAAATTAAATGTAACTTCTTATTTAGGGTATGGACCAGTTTGAGGATATTGGGCCATGTGTCATTATGGCTTCACCAGGTATGATGCAGAGTGGGCTCTCCCGGGAACTCTTTGAAATGTGGTGCCCCGATCCTAAGAACGGTGTCATTATTGCTGGTATGTGTATAATCTGGGAAAGCATGTATTGTATATTATTATTATTTTATCCATCATTGGCAAGTGGCTAAATTGTTATTCAATACCAAGGACCATGGGAACAGAACTGTCATTCTTGCAGCTGCAAGTTCACAATGCTACCCCACACAATACACAAATAATCACAGGTAGGAGACTGGAACATACAACGTTTCAGTCCGATTTAGACCATTAACTCTGTGACTAGTTAATTGTCTGAGTTGGACCAGATTGTTGTCATGAGTTGCAGTATTCTACATGCTAATTATTTGTATATTGTTCCAGTCATGGTATTGTGCTTTTTATTCTTCAAAACTATAGCTAGTGAGAGGGTTTGTTATACTGCAGAAGTTTGTTATTTATAATTTGGTATACAAGTCAGTCAGTGCTCTAAGACATTACTTTTGTGTTGGCAAAGACACAGTAGGCAGTGAAAAATTTGGTTGCATGTTTTCACACAAGTGAAATGCAGATTTTGGCCAGTAAATTTCTAAAACAAAATGTGATAATAAAGATGGCAACAGTCACAGAAAATGGGTTACCAGCTATGCCAAAGCTTGAGTGTCTGATTATCTTTTTATATTTTTAATCACCAAGGGGAAAAGCTTCAGTCATTGTGGATGACTGGGGCTAGTTCTATTACCGGGTCTAGTGGTTTCATTTTATGATTTAGATATCAGTTTAAGGTTTGTTGAAACATATGCTGTGAAGATTCCGTATGTGTATGCCAATTTTCTTCGACTGTTGAATGTAATTCAGTATAGAAGATACTTAATTACTTTCCGTATCTTCTATACTGAATTACAAAGTAGTTCAGTATAGGATATCTTAATTTTTTATGTTATGGTACTAGTATTTAAAATTTATGTATAATGTGTGTATACACATATAAATATTTTTTATTAATTTTATTTATAACATTATTGAACCAATAATTCAAATCTGATGACTCATGTGTATTCAGGTTACTGTGTGGAGGGCACATTAGCTAAAGAGATTTTGAAAGAGCCAGAAGAAGTCACCACAATGTCGGGCCAGAGACTTCCAATGAAGTGTTCAGTTGAATACATATCGTTCTCTGCTCACACCGACTTTGAGCAAACTTCTCACTTTATCCGGACTATTCGACCTCCAAATGTGGTAAGCATTTTATCAGAAAACAAACTGTATTTGTGTGTGTGTAAATAATTTATGTATATATATATATTATAGGTAGTAGGTTGGTAGACAGCAACCGCCCAGGGAGGTACTACCGTCCTGCCAAGTGAGTGTAAAACGAAAGCCTGTAATTGTTTTACATGATGGTAGGATTGCTGGTGTCCTTTTTTCTGTCTCATGAACATGCAAGATTTCAGGTACGTCTTGCTACTTCTACTTACACTTAGGTCACACTACACATACATGTACAAGCACATATATGCACACCCCTCTGGGTGTTCTTCTATTTTCTTTCTAGTTCTTATTCTTGTTTATTTCCTCTTATCTCCATGGGGAAGTGGAACAGAATTCTTCCTCCGTAAGCCATGCGTGTTGTAAGAGGCGACTAAAATGCCGGGAGCAAGGGGCTAGTAACCCCTTCTTCCTGTATATATTACTAAATGTAAAAGGAGAAACTTTCGTTTTTCCTTTTGGGCCACCCCGCCTTGGTGGGATACAGCCGGTGTGTTGAAAGAAAGAAAGAATATATATTATAGGTAGTAGGTTGGTAGACAGCAACCGCCCAGGGAGGTACTACCGTCCTGCCAAGTGAGTGTAAAACGAAAGCCTGTAATTGTTTTACATGATGGTAGGATTGCTGGTGTCCTTTTTTCTGTCTCATGAACATGCAAGATTTCAGGTACGTCTTGCTACTTCTACTTACACTTAGGTCACACTACACATACATGTACAAGCACATATATACACACCCCTCTGGGTTTTCTTCTATTTTCTTTCTAGTTCTTATTCTTGTTTATTTCCTCTTATCTCCATGGGGAAGTGGAACAGAATTCTTCCTCCGTAAGCCATGCGTGTTGTAAGAGGCAACTAAAATGCCGGGAGCAAGGGGCTAGTAACCTCTTCTCCTGTATATATTACTAAATGTAAAAGGAGAAACTTTCGTTTTTCCTTTTGGGCCACCCCGCCTCGGTGGGATACGGCCGGTGTGTTGAAAGAAAGAAAGAAATATATATATATATATATATACTGGCTTAACCCTTTCAGGGTCCGTCCCATAGATCTACGGCTTCACGTTGAGTGTCCAAACCGTAGATCTACGCCAAAATTCTAGCGGCATCAAATTTAGCGTGAAAACGCTCATAGGCATACATGTGAGAGAACGGGTCTGCTTGGTGGGTGTGCGTCATAAACAAAAAATCTAGGCGCCTGCATAGCATTGTGGGAACGCCGGCTCAGTTACCCTTGTTCACCATGCCTCGTCGCAAGGCAGCTCTCACTCCAAGGAAAATTGGGACTCTCTTGTTCCTATCTGATAGTTCTGACAGTGATGGAAGTGGAAATGAAGACGAATTCTTTGGCTTTGATCAGTTAGTGACCGAAAGGAATGACCAGGATGTCGATAATAGTGCAGAAAACCCTGACAATCCTCAACCTTCTACCTCTGGTGTGGGCACTCGTCAGTCATGGTCGGTTGTACCTCAATGCAAGAGAAAACTATTATTTTCGCGTGGCCAGGCCTCTGACTTCAGTAATGATGATGATAGTGACGTGGATTGTGATTTTATTGCTCTTGACGATCATTCGAGTTTATCTGGAGATCTGGAGAGAGTTCCGGGGGTCAACGCCCCCGCGGCCCAGTCTGTGACCAGGCCTCCTTAGGTCAGTGTCCCAGGATGCGACCCACACCAGTCGACTAACACCCAGGTACCCATTTTACTGATGGGGAACATAGACAACAGGTGGAAAGAAACACGTCCAATGTTTCTACTCTGGCTGGGAATCGAACCCAGGCCCTCACCGTGTGAAGCGAGAGCGTTAACCACCAGGCCACCAGAGTAGTGATAGTGAGGAATCATATTCACCTGTGAAGCGTCGGTATGTACGCCGCCGCATGCGCTCGGGTAGTGTACCCTATGCCATGCCCAGGGGACGGAATACATCCCGGAATACATCCCGGAGTACATCCTGTGGCCCTACACCAGGTATAGATAGTGATAGTGAGGATGATGTGGCTACACTTGGCATGGATAGACCACAGGCATCAGTAGATGGTGGTAGTGGTGATGGTAGTGCCACGGCCATGCGTGACTCACCAGCCCAGGCTGGGACCCACGCTGCTGACTCCGCAGTTCAAGGACAAAGTGGAGCGTCAGCCACCAGCCCACCACAACCACAACTACCTGCACAACCAGCCTATGATGTCCAGTATCCACCAGCAAACCGTATCTGGGATTGGCAGCAAAATCCCAATTTTGTTCCCAAGCCTCACCACTTTGATGACTTTGAAAGTGGAATTCTACCAACTTGTCCCCTTGGAAACACTGCAAATGAACTGGAATTCTTTGAACTATTCTTTGACCAGCCATTGATGGAAATTATTGTCAGGGAAAGTAATAAGTATTTTGAGTACACCATGGCAGATACGATCATATCACCACAGTCAAGACTACACCGGTGGAAAGAGACGACTGTTGCAGAAATGTATTTGCTTTTTGCAACAATAATGCTTATGCCTCATGTCTATAAGCATAATATAAAAGCATACTGGTCCACAGATCAGCTAATTTCTACCCCGGTCTTCAGTGAAATCATCCCAGTGAACAGGTTTATCTTACTGTTACATATGTTGCACTTCTCTGACAAAACCAGGCCTGACAGAAGTGACAGGTTATACAAGATTAGAAATGTTTTTATGTATCTCAAACAAAAGTTCAGCATGTACTTTTATCCATTCAAGAATCTTGTAATTGACAAGTCTTTGATTTTGTTCAAAGGTAGGCTGTCATTCAAGCAGTATATACCAAGCAAGAGGAAACGCTTTGGTATAAAACTGTTTGTACTCTGTGACTGTGACAGTGGCCTGGTATTGGATATTGTTGTATACACGGGAAGTAAAACATTGAAAGATACCAAGATGTTATTGGGTATCTCAGGTGACGTAGTGAGAAGCATGATGGCACCTTATCTTGGTAAGGGGCATACATTATATACCAATAACTGGTACACAAGCCCATTACTCAGTGATTTCTTGTGAGTGAACAAGACAGATGTGTGTGGCACAGTGCGTTCTAATCGTAAACATATGCCCAGGCTCAAAGCAGGTGCTCGTGGTGATGACGTGCAGGTGTTTACTGCCAATGACATCATGGCATTACGGTGGCATGACAAACAAGATATCATATTGTTGACAACCATTCACCGTAATGAAATGCAAGACAGTGGCAAAGTTGATTGAGTGACTAATGAACGTATGTATTCGAAAACCAGTGACAGTGATTGATTATACACAAAACATGCGCTTGGTTGACAAATGTGACATGCAGATTGGCTTTGTTGATTGTGTTCGTAAAAGTTACAAGTGGTACATGAAACTTTTCTTCCATCTCATGGACATTTCAATGCTCAATGCATATAGTATGTACCAAATGAAGACTGACAACAGACCACCGTATGGTGAATTTTGAAGTACCAGGTAACAACACCTGCTATACAACAAGGTCCTCGAACTCCTCAGGATATACCCAAGCGAGTGAGGAGGGAAGGTGATCATTTCATAATACGGCTTCCTTCAACTCAGAAGAAATTTGCTCAGAAGAGATGCATTGTCTGTGCACAAACAAAACGACGGCAACAAAGACGCAAAGACGCTCGGTTTATGTGTGAGGAATGTAAGGTACCTCTGTGCATGGTGCCTTGTTTCAAGGAGTTCCACAAGCTCTAGCAGTTCTAAAACCATGTCCAGTGATTGTAAATATGTAAATATAAGATAGAACATTAGTATTACACAAGATTTGTGCATGTTTATTGTAATATACAACAGTGGTAAACAATAATATGATAATAACTTTAGTGCTGTAATTGTGTTCAATACAGTGAGTTTATATATATACATTATATACAGTATTGGTCTCTCAGGCCCCAAATGTTAGTAGGAAAAGAAAAAATTAGAAAAGAAAAGAAAAAACTACAAAAAACGGTAAACAAAGTAATGTGCGTATGTGGAAATCGTCGCTGTTGCCACCACCACGTCATTTGGGGTAAACTTCTCGGCATTGTATCTCGGTAAGTACTGATCAGAATTTATTTTTTTGTCTTATTACCTTCACAAAAATATACTCTTTAATTCTGTAACAGAAAATAATTTTTTTTTTTTTTTCAAAATTTCTTGGACACTGGAGCACCACTTCAGATTTTGGCCTTGGACCCTGAAGGGGTTAAATTAAAATATTAATACTACTGGGTTAAATATTTTTTAACATAATAGCCACCTCCCACTGAGGCTGGATATACCCCCCTCACAAAAAACAAACAAACAAAAAAAAACACTTGCCAGAAGTGCTCAGATATCACAGTTCAAATGATCTTTCAAGCTACAACATCCCCATCTCTCTCCAAGAGTACAGGCACTGTATTTCCCACCTCCAGACACAGGAGGTTTCCCTGAATCCCCCCTCACATTTCAAGAGTATTGTGAAATTCCTAATGGCATAAATACCCTATAGGATTTAGTGCTTTCTTCTGAACCTAAGAATAATAATAAGAACGTGAATAGAAATACATGATTTTAAGCCATTACAAAATAGAGTAATTAGTTGACCTATGCAGAACCAGCCTATGCAGGCTACATTTATGAGGTTTTGGTCTACATACTGTATCAGTCTTTGACAAATTAGCTATGCAAAAGGCCAAACCCATAATTAATCAAAGCAGTTATTACCTCCAGTTTGTTTTCTTTCCTATCAAGGAAGGCTAAAGATGTTTTTGTAAGTTTTTCATTATTTTTTAATTAAATCTAATAATTTTTTTACCATCAGGTTTTAGTTCATGGAGAAATGACAGAGATGTCTCGCCTGAAAGCTGCCTTAGAGCGAGAATACGAAGGTAGCGATGAAAATCCTGTTAAGGTGTACAACCCAAAGAATCTTGAGACTATTACTTTCCACTTCAGGGGTGAGAAGATGGCCAAGGTAAGCTGAACACCATACTTCTTTGAAGAACAAGTTGATTTCTTGTTTAACCCTTTCAGGGTCAGACTCCCTGATCTGAAAATTGTTCTCAGGGTCAAAGAATTTAAAAAAAAAAAATATTTTTATGAAATAATAGAGAATCTTTTTCCCAAGGTAATGAAACTAAAGTATGAAATTTGATGGAAAACTTACTGAAATATGCTCTTACAAAGTTAGCAGTTTCGGCAGTATTCATGCATTGGCAATTTTGCCCACTTCAGCCCTATTTTTGGCCAGTTCCATTGTTCCAGTCCACCAGACTCATAGCCATTTCACTAGTACTTCTTATATTCTATCGATTAAGTACAAGAAACTGCCCATTTACCTATTTCAGAAATTGGTAATTTGGCCAATATCACACAAAATTAAAGAAATGTCATTTTAAAAAGAGGGTCCAGAATAAACAATGTAGACATTCATGGCATTAAAAAACATTTGTCCAGAGGGCTGAGGAAGGGTTGTTGAGGTGGTTCGGACATGTAGAGAGAATGGAGCGAAACAGAATGACTTCAAGAGTGTATCAGTCTGTAGTGGAAGGAAGGCGGGGTAGGGGTCGGCCTAGGAAGGGTTGGAGGGAGGGGGTAAAGGAGGTTTTGTGTGCGAGGGGCTTGGACTTCCAGCAGGCATGCGTGAGCGTGTTTGATAGGAGTGAATGGAGACAAATGGTTTTTAATACTTGACGTGCTGTTGGAGTGTGAGCAAAGTAACATTTATGAAGGGATTCAGGGAAACCGGCAGGCCGGACTTGAGTCCTGGAGATGGGAAGTACAGTGCCTGCACTCTGAAGGAGGGGTGTTAATGTTGCAGTTTAAAAACTGTAGTGTAAAGCACCCTTCTGGCAAGACAGTGATGGAGTGAATGATGGTGAAAGTTTTTCTTTTTCGGGCCACCCTGCCTTGGTGGGAATCGGCCGGTGTGATAATAAAAAAAAAAAAAAAAAAAAAAAAAAAAACATTTCCTCTGTTCACTAGTTATGTCCCCAGGCCTCTCCTATATTACACTTGCTGTCCATTTTGAATTTTTATTCACACAAAAAATAGAAGATTTACTGATATTTTTTGTGCATTATTGATAACTGTATAAATAATGTCAGTGCATTTGTGGGCATATATTAGACTAATCAGTTGGACGCATATTGGACGAGTGATGTAATTTCAGTTCTCTATAATGGTAAAAATCAAACATTCTGTTACTTTGAGCTCAGTTTCAAGCTACTTTCAGTCCTGAAACCAATCAAAATCTGTAAGATATCTTCCATACTATCAAATGAGACCAAGAAACCATGTGAAAATACACAAAGTTGCTGTTTTAAACCAAAAACACAGTTGCCATTTTTTCCCATTGTGCACTGCTTGCTGCAGGATTTTTTTTTTATATGGTGCACACTTATCGCATAGACCTGTTTTCTCATATCTAGGCCCAGATTTACTGCTCACAGCTTATCCCAGTGAGTCGAGTTCATGGCGTAGTACTACAGGACCAGCCTGTACTTCAAAGCCGTAGTACAATGAGACCCACCACGAAAGGGTTAATTACACTCATTGTGTTCTTCTTTAAGTACTGCCATCTCCCACCAAAATTGGGTGACCCACAGAAAAAAGAAACATACACCATTATTTATTCAATCACTGTCTTGCCACAAGTGTTTTGGTATCTCATTAGTAGTCACTGTTTACCACCCAGCTATTTAATCTCCAGATTTATAGTCTTGGTGTTTTCTTAGTGTATAGGAATTACTGAACAGTTTATTTTTTGACACTTTCTTAGGTAATCAGTATATAAGTCCTGTATATGATGTTTTTATTTGTGAATTGCTTATATTAGCTTTACTGAGTTTTTTTTTTTTTTTTTTTTTTTTTGGCCACCATTTACAGGTCATGGGAGAATTGGCTATACACAAACCGAAGGAAAACGATGTTGTTTCCGGTATTATGGTTAAACGCAATTTCAACTGTCATATTATTTCCCCCAAAGAGTTAGTCAGTAAGTATTTAACCTGTTTTGTTTGTTACTTCAGTGTGTCTACATCCTCATTAGAAATTTATTTTTCTTTGCATAAAAAAAGGAAATTATCCTTGTGTAAAAAAGGAATGAACTGATGTCCAAGGATATTTGTTAGGGACTTCAATTTTTTTTTTTTAAATGTATAGAGAACATTTGTTCTTGTATTTTGATAATGTATATTATCTTTCAGAATACAGTGATCTGTCAGTTTCTACCATTAGCCAGAGGACCAGTATCCACTATACTGGATCGTGGCAGCTGCTGCATTACCTCTTGGCCTCCATGTACGGCAGTGTGGAAGTCATCCTCTCAGACAACTCTGAAAATAAAAGTCTTCGAATATTTGATACAATTACCATAGTGGAGGAGCCACCCGTTGTGGTGTTAGAAGTAAGTTACATGTCTTTAATGCTTTCACTGTCCAGACTCCTGAAATTGATACAGCTTGGTCTCAGTTAGTGTGAATAATGAATCTTGGAAAGTGGCCACATTATTTGAATTTGCACTATTCACATTATATATACTTTTTTTTCAGGTGATCTGAAGAGTTTGGGGGGAAATTAGCATAAAATAATTTTGCACGAAATTGAAAGCCACACCTTTCAAATTCACACTAATCAAAACTTGTGTGTACTGCTCTCAGCAAAGAGACTCTGGCATCGTTAACATAGGTGTACATGACGGCCAGTCAAAAGGTTAAAAATTCCTCGTTATGCTGATACAGTGGTACCTTGACTTACGAGTGCTCCAACTTATGAGTTTTCCGAGTTACGAGCCGTCACTTGGTCGATTTTTTTGCTTTGAGTTGCGAGCCAAAATCCGAGTTACGAGCGAGCTTCAGATATGCTGCCACTCGCAGGAGAGAGAAGAAATATCAAACACCTCTATAATAACCAATATGTAACATTGTATCAATTTTGATATCACTGGTAATGCCATCCTGCCAGAATGCTCTATAACGTATGCCCTAAGTAAAGAGAAACAATTCTGGAATGTGTAATACATGTTCGGCAGGCCAGCTGGTTGGGTGGCCGGCTGATTTGCTTTGGCTGTCTCTATCTCCTTCTGTCTGTCTGTATCTATCTCTGTCTCTATCTCACAGGTACACACAAATACAGTTATACATAGTGTAAATTACCCAAGATAACCCAAAAAATCCAGACAAAGTGCTATACTATGCTTGTAGATATAAGGCATAATAAGCATGACTGGCAAGTAATGCACATTTTCACTTGTTCAGGAATCAGACTTTGCATCGTGTGTAATACCTGTTGGTTCATGAGCGGCTCTCTCTCTGAGACAGAGAGACAAGTAGAGAGACAGGAAGACAGAAACACAGGCAGACAGAAAGACAGATAAGCAGAGACAGAGATAAATATAGACAGAGCTAGACAGAAACAGATAGACATGTTTATTTGTAACTGTGAAAAATAAAGCCAAGGCAGTGCATGATTATCAAATGTCACTCCACGAGTGACACTCCACTGGCAGTGGAGTGACACTCATCTTACACCGTGCTTCAAGGAGTTTCATATATACTCCAGCATTTCTAAAACATTGCTGGAACCTGTCAAAAAAGACAAAAATCATTTCTTATTTATAAATACATTTTTCTTATTTAAAAACCCGTAACAAAAAAATTGGGGTGATTTTTCAGGGGCTGGAATGGATTAATGGCATTTCAATTAACTTCAATGAGGAAAATTGATTTGATATACGTACAGTGGACCCCCGCATAACGATGGCATCACATAGCGATTTTTCCGCATACCGATTACTTTTATCGCAAAATTTTTGCCGCGCATACCGATTAAAAACCCGCTTACCGATTTTCGTCCGAGACGCGTCCAATGTGCCCTCAGCCAGCCTCACATGTGCCGGCCGTCCCATTGTTTACCAGCCAGCCTCCGCGGTAACATCCAAGCATACACTCGGAATATTTCGTATTATTACAGTGTTTTTCGGTGCTGTTTCTGGAAAATAAGTGACCATGGGCCCCAAGAAAGCTTCTAGTGCCAACCCTGTGGTAAAAAGGGTGAGAATTAGTATGGAAATTAAGAAAGATTTTGAAGGGTTGGGGCTAACCCTGAGAAGCCTATGCCAGTTGTGGAATCCATTGTGCCTACTTCAAAGATTAAGGAAATGTGTGCACAGTGGGTTGAACTGCAAACCTTTATAGATGAAAATCACCCTGACACAGCTGTTGCAAGCCGTGCTGGTGACTATTTCAATGACAATGTTGTGGCCCATTTTAGACAAATCGTAAAGGAACGGAGGTACAGAGCTCTATGGACAGATTTGTTGTGCGACAGAGGTCCAGTGACTCTCAAGCTGGTCCTAGTGGCATTAAAAGAAGAAGGGAAGTAACCCCGGAAAAGGACTTGCTACCTCAAGTCGTAATGGAAGGGATTCCCCTTCTAAACAGTAAGAAGATAATGCTCTCCCCTCCTCCCATCCCATCAATCATCACCAGATCTTCAATAAAAGTAAGTGTCATTTAATTGTGCATGCCTTTTTCAGTTTGTGTGTATTAAAATTAACATTTCATGTGGTAAAAAAAATTTTTTTTCATACTTTTGGGCGTCTTGCACGGATTAATTTGATTTCCATTATTTCTTATGGGGAAAATTCATTCGCATAACGATTATTTCGCATAACGATGAGCCCTCTTGCACGGATTAAAATCGTTAACCGGGGGTCCACTGTATAAGCAAATTGCGATACGAGCTGGGTCACGGAACAAATTAAACTCGTAAGTCAAGGTACCACTGTACAAGGAAACCAGCACAGTAGGTCCCTCACTTAGAACATTATAATGTGTTCCTTAAAAATTTTGGTAAATTGATTATTCAGAGCTCAAAACCCATTTTCCCATAGACACCCATATTATGACCAGAGATGTGTTTCCCAGACATAAAATTGCCTTTTTAAATTCATGTTATTTTAACTATGAATTTTTGCCCAATATTTTACATTAGTGAGAATAATTGTGTGAGGCTGTGGGATGAGTCCCACTGGACATTGAATGTCCCACTGGACATTTTTTTTTTTTTCAATACACCAGCCATCTCCCACCTAGGCAGGGTGACCCAAAAAAGTTTTTCTTTTTACATTTAGTAGTTTATACAGGAGAAGGGATTACTAGGCCCTTGCTTCCGGCATTTTAGTTCTCTCACACTATGCAAAAACTCAATGCACATAAAAGGCCCTAAAATCTGGAATTCATTACCTGTAAATATAAAAGAAACACAACCTGTTTATAAATTCAAGTCTCTTCTCAAAGATTACTTACTCACCCAAAACCAAATAAATACTGAATAACTGAACATTATAAATTGTATATCTTAAATGTTTCTCACAATTATATCACATAAATGTTAAACCTAAAACCCAATCTAACTTTATTATTTTTTAAATACACTACCTAACAGAATCACTACCTAACTGAATGCAACCATATGACCTGTCTTTGTAATACTCACTTGTGCTTTATAGTTATCTGTTTACATTAATGTTTTATCACTGATTTCATCATTGCTTAGTAGCAGCGCTGTATAGTCCTTGTGGCTTAGCGCTTCTTTTTGATTATAATAATAATAATAATCATTGCTTAGTTAATCTTAAGTTAATTTTAAGCCAGCCCGTAATGCTATGCATAGTATAAGTGGCTTTGGCATACTGCTCTTATCTGTATTTTTTTTTGTACCTCTGTATGTGTGCACAAATTGGAAATAAATAAATAAATAAATAAATAAAAATAACACACATGGCTTACATAGGAAGGATTCTTTTCCACTTCCCAATAGAGACCTGTACATTTAATGTACAGTTCTTAGCCACTCTCTACCAGAAAACATGAACTTTCCACACATACATAATAGTAACATAAAGAATGAATGCATTTAAAAAACAGCTGAGAAAAATATTTACAATTCAACCTTAAGAGAATTTTTAGTAAGTAGTTCTGCCAAACAAATGTGAGCTCTCTATAATGCATAAAATGAACATTAACAAAGTATGAATGCAAATAGGGAAAAACAGAAAAAAAAATTATAATTATTTCTGTATAAATATTTGCAATACTTGTAGCTGCAGATGAGCATTCATAAGTCATTACATAATTAGTTCCAAAGTGCCAGTATTGTAAATGAGGATCATTGTAAATTGGGGCATGTTGTATTTTAAATTAAATTAGTGTGTTAACCATGAAAATATGTATTCATGACAATATGTACGTATTTCCAAAGAAAGATGTCTAATAAGTTTTTATATGCAGAATGTAATGCACTGCTATTTCACACCAGTGCTGGGAGCCCAAAAACAGAATACATTCACTGTCATTCTAGTTGTCTTCACAGAAAGGCACAGACGGGAGAAAATTGACATGTGTGGATGCCAGCACTAGCCTGAACAATAGTCCAGGCTAGTGCTGGTTCACTTAACTACATTATCCCCACCTCACTGTCAAAGTACAAGCACTGTACCTCCATACTTCCATAAGTTAAGCTGGTCTACTCTTCATGGTCATTGCTTTTATGCCAGTAAGTTTATTTAGGTATAGGTACACATAAGTACAGTTATCATACCTAGTAACATATATGTAAATTGATGAAAACTTAGACACATGTGCAACATCTGGGTGCCTTTATTGTAGACCTTTGCCATCCAGTGGCTTTATCAACATAAATTCAAGGATATAATGAAAGACGGAAGAATTATATACAGAAGATGAGGTAATCAGTATATAATTCTTCTGTCCTCCATTATGTCCTTGAATTTGTATTGATAAAGCCACTGGATGGTAAAACATCTACAATGAAGATATGTACCCAGATGTTGCACATGTCTAATTTTTCATCTAGTCAGTATTGTATACATTCATGCAGTATATGTAAATTACCTAGAATAACCCAAAAAGGATGCTGGTGGAAGGCTGTTGAGCCGTGGAATTGTAGCTGCTTTCCCCTTTCTTCGGTCAAACCTGAGAACATTTCAGGCACTGTATGACTCCTATATGTTTAGTGCTAATCATAAATTTTTAACACTTAATCATAAATTCTTTCTTTCTTTCAACGCACTGACCGTATCCCACCGAGGCACGGTGGCCCAAAAAAGAAAAACAAAAGTTTAATCATAAATATAATACATTGTAAATAAATGAATATGTTGTCTTATTGTGCCAGGCTAGTACTGAGTTTATTTCCACAGGTATTTGGTCTGTTCCTTTAACACTTTTTTCTGATTATTTATCCGTCAGTGACTTCGACACATGGTATTCTTCCTTGCTTAATGCACTCTTTATTTTGAGCCATTTCACTTGCCAGTTTTCTTTGATGTGGGATTTTCTGTTATTCTTTTAGTGATCTGCTAGATCACTACAGGATGAAATTCTGATAATGTTTGTTGTGGATATCCTGAAACATATTAATGATAATAGATATGTCGTAGATATGTTGCTTTAACTAGTTATACTGTATGTGAGGTGTTTAAAAAAGAGGAAGTCTGTAAAGTCAAAGTGAGGTCAAAGGAATTATCCTTAGGATAATTTAACTTCTGAGGGTTATTATGTAAGGATAATCCAACAAGAGCAAGTAGTATGGCTTATTTTCAATTGGGTTCTGTTGCTGGATGTGACGTATGACATAAAATAAATCCTAGATATTGTACCTTTTAATTGCAAGATGGACATGGGCTGCAGGTGTAAGAATTTCCCATATATCTAGTCCCCCACCTTGGAATTAAACCTGAGACTTTTCTGTTGTAATCAGAATGCTCTACCGCTGAGCTACAGGAACATTGGAAGGATTAACAAATGACTGATAAATATCATAATTTGTGACTTTCAAACATCAGTTTAACAAGTGATAGTGTAATGAAATAGTCAAGTTTTCCTGATTGGTTGAGTCTGAAAATATTTTTAACATTTAGGACTTGGCATTGATTGTAAAAGTGTTTCTTTTTTCTGGTCACTTTGCATCAGTGGGAGGAGGCCATTGTGTTTAAAAAAGTTCATTCCACATCAGGAGCCCCTTTATAGACATACAGTAGCTGTGGTGTATTATAGATTATTTTAAATACTAAAAGTTGTCTTATTCTTTCAGTGGGTCGCTTCTCCAACAAATGATATGTATGCTGATGCTGTGATGAAGGTGATTCTTAAGGCCCAAGAGTTAGATAGTAACGCTGTCTCCATACCAGCAGTGACGAGTGCAACATTTGACAAGATGCATTACAAGGTTAGTACATCTCTGCCAACTGATTTGTTGTACAGGTGCTCCTTGACTTATGATGAGGTTTCATTCTGACGAACCCATTGTAAGTTGAAAATATCATAAGTCTTTTATGAATATGATATGCTAAGTAAATAAGTAAATAAATAACTACTGTCACTGAATAAGTAAATAAATAATTACTGTAACTAATTGCTTTTGCACCGTTGTAAAGTTGAAATATCGTAAGTCAAACTGTCATAAGTCAAGGAGCACCTGTACATCTTAACACTTCCTATATTTCCAGTCTGCCAAAATCTTCCTTGGGTAACTGAGGAGGGTCTCTCTATTAGACCAGAAATATTTGTATGTTTTTTCTATACTTTTGAATGTAAGTTATTTATATACAGTGGTACCTTGACTTATGAGTGCCCCAACTTACGAGTGCCCCAACTTATGAGTTTTCCGAGTTACGAGCCGTCGCTCAGTTGATTTTTTGCTTTGAGTTGCTAACCAGAATCCGAGTTACGAGCAAACTTCACATACGCTGCCACTCATAGGAGAGAGGAAACATCAAAAACCTCAATAATAACCAATGTGTAACATACTTTCAGTTTTGATACCACTGGTAGTGTCATCCTGCCAGAATGTTCTATAACGTATGCCCTAAGTAAAAAGAAACAATTCCGGAACTGTAATGCATGTTCGGCAGGCTGGCTGGTTGGGTGGCAAACTGGTTGGCCGGCTAGCTGGCCAGCGCTGGCTGGCTGTCTCTATCTCCTGTCTGTCTGTATCGTCTCTGTCTATCTCTGTCTCTGTCTCTCACAGGTACACATAAATACAGTTATCTTTCTTTCAACACACCGGCCGTATCCCACCGAGGCGGGGTGGCCCAAAAGGGAAAACGAAAGTTTCTCCTTTTACATTTAGTAATATATACAGGAGAAGAGGTTACTAGCCCCTTGCTTCTGGCATTTTAGTCGCCTCTTACAACATGCATGGCTTACGGAGGAAGAATTCTGTTCCACTTTCCCATGGAGATAAGAGAAAATAAACAAGAATAAGAACTAGAAAGAAAATAGAAGAAAACCCAGAGGGGTGTGTGTATATATATATATATATGCTTGTACATGTATGTGTAGTGTGACCTAAGTGTAAGTAGAAGTAGCAAGACATACCTGAAATCTTGCATGTTCATGAGACAGAAAAAAGGACACCAGCAATCCTACCATCATGTAAAGCAATTACAGGCTTTCATTTTACACTCACTTGGCAGGACGGTGGTACTGTACCTCCCTGGGCGGTTGCTGTCTACCAACCTACTACCTAGGAATTACTGAATGTACTGTACATATACTATTTTATCGCTCTGGGGAGCTTTAATTAAATGTAGTATATTATGTGTGGGTGGGGTGGGCTGACCTGGCTGGCTACCATACCTCCCAAACCTGACTTCCTACAAATTTAACTCACCTCTCACCCTACATTAAGACTACAAATATTTTAAGGTAAGTAATGGGTGTGCTGTGTGTATTTTACTTTTTATTGTTTTTAATGCCTAGTTCTATTGCTATTAGCAATAGATATTGACATTAGCAGTTTGGAGGGATATGTTGTGTATCTTTATACGTACGTATATGCTTTTAAACTGTTGTGTTCTGAGCACCTCTGCAAAAACAGTGATTATGTGTGAGTGAGGTGAAAGTGTTGAATGATGATGAAAGTATTTTCTTTTTGGGGATTTTCTTTCTTATTGGGTCACCCTGCCTCGGTGGGAGATGGCCAACTTGTTTAAAAAAAAAAAATTCTATTGCTAATGTAACATATGTTAGTGTAAACTTGTTACCTGGCATTTATATGCATTTATAAGTGGAAAAAATGGCGTTCTGCTTTCTGGCAGTAGCCTGGAACTAACCTGCTGAATAAGTGGGGCCCTACTGTATCTAAAAATGAACAATTAAATTAAGAGTAGGCCATTATTATAATGATTGGAGATTGGTTCCAACAGAAAAAATATTCTGCTCAGAAACTTGCATTAAAATTTCTACCTACACATTAGGTACTATGTTTACCTAATATATTGGAGGTAAGAAGGGCAGTGCCTGCACTCTGGAGGAGGAGGGATGGGGATATGTATTGTAGTTCAGAGAATCGTCTGAACTTTGATGTCAGCACTCTTCTGACAAGACAGTAACTGTATGAGTGACAGTGAAGTGTTTCTTCTAGTTTGGGTCACCCTACCTCAGTGGGAGAGGGCCATTGTATTAAAAAAATAATCCTACAATACACACAATATTAAATATAGTTCAGCAGGATGTTCTCTAAGATCACTGGGGAAAATAATCAACTTTTATTATGCTGAAGACCTGTAGTGTATAGCCACCTCCAAATATTTCTAGCAAAATGCTGGTTTAGTGCTTCCTTTTAATTCAGTAATTTGTTTGTAGAAATGTGATATTTAAGTGGCATAGAGCATTATTTGCCACTGATTCCAACCAGCTTCCCTCCTTCCTTTCAGCCACATAAATATGTTTCCTTGCATGATTACCAGTTTTTTTATTTTTTCAACAAGTCGGCCGTCTCCCACCGAGGCAGGGTGACCCAAAACAGAAAGAAAATCTCCAAAAAGAAAATACTTTCATCATCATTCAACACTTTCACCACACTCGCACATTATCACTGTTTTTGCAGAGGTGCTCAGAATACAACAGTTTAGAAGCATACACACATATAAAGATACACAACATATCCCTCCAAACTGCCAATATCCCAAACCCCTCCTTTAAAGTGCAGGCATTGTACTTCCCATTTCCAGGACTCAAGTCCGACTATATGAAAATAACCGGTTTCCCTGAATCCCTTCACTAAATATTACCCTGCTCACACTCCAACAGATCGTCAGGTCCCAAGTACCATTCGTCTCCATTCACTCCTATCTAACACGCTCACGCACGCTTGCTGGAAGTCCAAGCCCCTTGCCCACAAAACCTCCTTTACCCCCTCTCTCCAACCCTTTCGAGGACGACCCCTACCCCGCCTTCCTTCCCCTATAGATTTATATGCTTTCCATGTCATTCTACTTTGATCCATTCTCTCTAAATGACCAAACCACCTCAACAACCCCTCTTCTGCCCTCTGACTAATACTTTTATTAACTCCACACCTTTTCCTAATTTCCACACTCCGAATTTTCTGCATAATATTTACACCACACATTGCCCTTAAACAGGACATCTCCACTGCTTCCAACCATCTCCTTGCTGCTGCATTTACCACCCAAGCTTCACACCCATATAAGAGTGTTGGTACTACTATACTTTCATACATTCCCTTCTTTGCCTCCATAGATAACGTTTTTTGACTCCACATATACCTCAATGCACCACTCACCTTTTTTCCCTCATCAATTCTATGATTAACCTCATCCTTCATAAATCCATCCGCCGACACGTCAACTCCCAAGTATCTGAAAACATTCACTTCTTCCATACTCCTCCTCCCCAATTTGATATCCAATTTTTCTTTATCTAAATCATTTGACACCCTCATCACCTTACTCTTTTCTGTGTTCACTTTCAACTTTCTACCTTTACACACATTCCCAAACTCATCCACTAACCTTTGCAATTTTTCTTTAGAATCTCCCATAAGCACAGTATCATCAGCAAAAAGTAACTGTGTCAATTCCCATTTTGAATTTGATTCCCCAAAATTTAATCCCACCCCTCTCCCAAACACCCTAGCATTTACTTCCTTTACAACCCCATCTATAAATATATTAAACAACCATGGTGACATTACACATCCCTGTCTAAGACCTACTTTTACCGGGAAGTAGTCTCCCTCTCTTCTACACACCCTAACCTGAGCCTCACTATCCTCATAAAAACTCTTTACAGCATTTAATAACTTACCACCTATTCCATATACTTGCAACATCTGCCACATTGCTCCTCTATCCACTTTATCATATGCCTTTTCTAAATCCATAAATGCAATAAAAACTTCCCTACTTTTATCTAAATACTGTTCACATATATGCTTCAATGTAAACACTTGATCTACACATCCCCTACCCACTCTGAAACCTCCTTGCTCATCTGCAATCCTACATTCTGTCTTACCTCTAATTCTTTCAATTATAACCCTACCGTACACTTTTCCTGGTATACTCAGTAAACTTATTCCTCTATAATTTTTACAGTCTCTTTCCCTTTATATTAAGGGACTATACATGCTCTCCGCCAATCCCTAGGTACCTTCCCCTCTTTCATACATTTATTAAACAAAAGTACCAACCACTCCAACACTACATGTATATCCCCCCCTGCTTTTAACATTTCTGTCATGATCCCATCAGTTCCAGCTGCTTTACCCCCTTTCATTTTACGTAATGCCTCACGTACCTCCCCCACACTTACATTCTGCTCTTCTTCACTCCTAAAAGATGGTATACCTCCCTGACCAGTGCATGAAATTACTGCCTCTGTTTCTTCCTTAACATTTAAAAGTTCCTCAAAATATTCTCGCCATCTACCTAATACCTCCATCTCCCCATCTACTAACTCCCCTACTCTGTTTTTAACTGACAAATCCATACTTTCCCTAGGCTTTCTTAACTTGTTTAACTCACTCCAAAATTTTTTCTTATTTTCATTAAAATTAAAATTAAATGATTACCAGTAGTACTATATTATTTGCATTATTTTAATATATTTTCTTCCAGATGTGTAACCTCTTTAATTGGCTTCAAGTTGGAAAAATTCAGATTCAGGAAGGATATAGGAAAGCACTGGTTTGGTAATAGAGTTGTGGATGAGTGGAACAAACTCCCGAGTACAGTTATAGAGGCTAAAACGTTGTGTAGTTTTAAAAATAGGTTAGATAAATACATGAGTGGGTGTGGGTGGGTGTGAATTGGACCTGACTAGCTTGTGCTACTAGATCTGATGCCATGCTCCTTCCTTAAGTGGAAGTGACCTGACTAGTTGGGTCATTGTGGCAATCGGGGGGACATGGACCTGCTTCGCATAGGTCAGTAGACCTGCTGCAGTGTTCCTTCTTTCTTATGTTCTTACTGCTTTTCCTTCCCACCTTTTTTCTTTGAAAGAAGTCTAATAAAAAATTTACTTTTGTACAGGAGTGCTTGATAGAATTATTCCAAGAAATGTTTGGAGAAGACTCTGTGCCCAAGTTGTTTAAGGGAGAGAAGCTCTATGTGACTGTCAACAATATCAAGGCCAACATTGATCTAACCTCATTGGTAAGTCTTTCAAGATAAGCTTTTGCCCAAATCTTTTGTTCGTCTCCTAGCATCACACCGGCCATTATTATGAACTTGATAGGATTTCCTACAAGTTTGGTAATAGGACACTATTTGCAGACAAAACCTTTATTTTAAAGACTACGTTTAACCCACACATAGGGTTTATCAAGTTAATACATGGCATATGCTACATGACAGTATATACAAAAAAGTGAAATGAAGGCATGTGTAGTCAGGTGATGGATGATCAAGTTTTGTTGTCAGGTTGCTGGGTCACCTGCACACAATGTTTTGGAGTACAGTGGACCCTCGCATAATGATATTAATCCGTTCCTGAGAGCTCAATGTTATGCAAAATTATCGTTATGCGAATTAATTTTCCCCATAAGAAATAATGGAAATCAAATTAATCCGTGCAAGACACCCAAAAGTATGAAAAAAAAAAATTTTTTACCACATGAAATATTAATTTTAATACACACAAACTTAAGAAAACATGCACAGTTACATGACACTTACCTTTATTGAAGATGTGGTGATGATTGATGGGATGGGAGGAGGGGAGACTGGATGGTTTTAGTGTTTAGAAGGGGAATCCCCTTCCATTAGGCCTTGAGGTGTCAAGTCCTTTTCCGGGGTTGCTTCCCTTCTTCTTTTAATGCCACTAGGACCAGCTTCAGAGTCACTGGACTTCTGTCGCACAACATATCTGTCCATAGAGGTCTGTACCTCTTGTTCCTTTATGACTTTCCTAAAGTGTTTCACAACAGTGTCAGTGTAATAGTCACCAGCACAGCTTGCAATAGCTGTCCGAGGGTGATTTTCATCCATGAAGGTTTGCACTTCAAGCCACTTTGCACAGATTTCCTTAATCTTTGAAGTAGGCAACTTCTTCAGTTTCTCTCTCCCCTCCTCTTAAGCAATTTCCTCAGGTGTGGCCTCTTGCTGCTGAAGTTGATCTAGCAGCTCATCAGTGGTTAGTTCTTCATTGTCCTCCTCCACCAACTCTTCCACATCCTCCCCACTAACCTCCAACCCCAAGGACTTCCCCAATGCCACAATTGATTCCTCAACTGGCATAGGATTCTCAGGGTTAGCCTCAAATCCTTCAGAATCCCTTTGGTCTACACATTCTGGCCACAGTTTCTTCCAAGCAGAGTTCAAGGTCCTCTTAGTCACTCCCTCCCAAGCCTTACCTATAAGGTTTACACAATTGATGATACTAAAGTGCTCTCTCCAAAACTCTCTTAGAGTCAATTGAGTTTCTGAGGTCACTACAAAGCACCTTTCAAACAGAGCTTTTGTGTACAGTTTTTTGAAGTTTGCAATAACCTGCTGGTCCATGGGCTGCAGGAGAGGAGTGGTATTAGGAGGCAAAAACTTCACCTTAATGAAGCTCATGTCCCCACAAAGTCGCTCTGCCAAGTCTGTAGGATGACCAGGGGCATTGTCTAACACCAGGAGGCACTTAAGGTCTAATTTCTTTTCAGTTAGGTAATTTTTCACAGTGGGGGCAAATGCTTGGTGTAACCAGTCATAGAAAAAGTCCCTAGTGACCCATGCCTTATTGTTTGCCCTCCACAGCACACACAAATTAGCCTTGAGGATATTCTTTTGCCTGAACACTCTGGGAGTTTCAGAGTGATACAATAATAAAGGCTTCACTTTGCATTCACCACTAGCATTGGCACACATGAGAAGAGTAAGCCTGTCTTTCATAGGCTTATGTACTGGGAGTGCCTTTTCCTCCTGAGTAATGTAGGTCCTGCTTGGCATTTTCTTCCAAAACAGGCCTATTTTGTCACAATTAAACACTTGTTCAGGTTTCAGTCCTTCACTGTCTGTGTACTCCTTGAATTCATGTACATATTTTTCAGCTGCTTTTTGGTCCGAACTGGCAGCCTCACCATGCCTTATCACACTATGTATGCCACTACGCCTCTTAAATCTCTCAAACCAACCTTTGCTGGCCTTAAATTCACTCGCATCACCACTAGTTGCAGGCATTTTTCTAATTAAATCCTCGTGCAACTTCCTAGCCTTTTCACTTATGATTGCTTGAGAGATGCTATCGCCGGCTATCTGTTTTTCGTTTATCCACACCAATAACAGTCTCTCAACATCTTCTATCACTTGCGATCTCTGTTTCAAAAGCACAGTTAAACCTTTGGCAAGAACAGCTTCCTTGATTGCCGTTCTCTTGGACACAATAGAAGCGATGGTTGATTGGGGTTTACTATACAACCTGGCCAGCTCGGAGACACGCACTGCACTTTCATACTTAGCAATGATCTCTTTCTTCATCTCCATAGTAATTCTCACCCTTATTCCTGTAGGGTTAGCACTAGAAGCTTTCTTGGGGCCCATGGTCACTTATTTTTCAGGTGAAATCACTATAAAAAGGCTGTAATAATACGAAATGTTCCGATTGTATGCTTGAATGTTACCGCGGAGGCTGGCTTGTAAACAATGCCACTGGCAGAACAAGTGAGGCTGGCTCAAGCCGCATGGACGTGTCTCGGACGAATCGCGTTGAGCGAATTTTTTAGCACTACGCGAGGCAAAATTTTAGCGATCAAGTGTATCGCTATGCGGATTTAACACTATGCGATGCCAACATTATGCGGGGGTTCACTGTATTTTTTAAGATTTAACCCTTTCACTGTTGAGACCCCTGCTCACAAACTTGCTCTCAGTGTCAAAGAATTAAAAAAAAAAAATTATTTTTATATGAAATGATAGAAAATCTTTTTCCAATGGTAATGACAAAAAAGTACGATATTTGATGAAAAACTTATGGAATTACGTTCTCGCAAAGTTAGCGGTCTCAGCGATATATATACATCAGCGATTTTGCTCACTTTGAGCCTATTTTTGGCCAATTGCATTGTTCCAGTCAACCAAACGCATAGCTATTTTGCTAAAACTCCATATGTTCTATCAATTGAGTTACAAGAAATTGCCCATTTACTGATATCAACTACCCAATAAAGTGGTCAGATATTGGCAATTTGGCCACTTTCACACAAATTTCAAAAGTTGCCAATTTCAAAGTAGGGTTCAGAATAAACAATGCAGACATTCCTGGCACTAAAATAACATTTTTTCTGTTCATTAGTCATGTCTCCAGGCCCCTCTTTCATTACTCTTGTTTTCCATTTTGAATTTTTATTCACACAAAAAATAGAAGATTTACTGTTATGCAGACTGCTGCATTATTGTAATAATTGTATAAATAATGTCAACCCATTCGTGACTGTGTATTAGACTGGCCAGGTGGACACTTATTGGACGGTGATGTCATTTGTTTACTCTTGAACATCAGCAAAAATCGAACATTTCCACTACTTTGAGCTCAATTTGAAGGTACTTTTCATCATGAAACCAATCAAAATCCTCTCTATTTCTGTAATATATCTTCCATTCTATCAAATGAGACCAAGAAAATGAGAATACAACCATAAAACCATATGAAAATACACATCAAACTCAGCATTTTAAACAAAAAACACAGTTGGAGTTTTTTTCTCTCATGCATTGCGTGCTGCAGGTTTTTTTTTATACTGTGCACACTGACTACGCAGACCCATTTTCTCAGAAGTAGGTTTACCAGCTTTCTCCCGCTATATTTGAAGCCGCTAGAATTTTGGTGTATTAATACAGCGCCAACTCTGGCTTGTAAGCCATACTAATACGACACTGACAGTGAAAGGGTTAACATTGGTTGTGTAAAGCTAATTGCCCTTTACTGTAGTTCTGTTTATTAGTATTAGAAATCTGTACACGTGCGGCCAATAATCACCATCATCATGTTCTGTTTTGTCTTTGATAATTATTTTAGCCTTTGTCTAGTCTCATTAGATGTATTCTTTTTCCTTACAACTGACTCATGTTTGGCTCTTTTTGTGTGTCTTGCTGCCATATTTGTGTTCAGAGGCACAGACTTCCAATATCATCAAATAGAACAAAGGGTCATTTAGTATTGCAAAACCTCTAGTTAAACTCGTGTTGAAAATCCTCCTAAACACAGTGTGTAGGTGACCCAACAAACTGACATCACCACTTTGTCATCCTTTACCTGTCCCTGCCTTTCTTTATTTTACCATTTTATTTAAATATTTATATGTTGCATGTGCCTTGTGTTTTGATAAAGCTTCTGCAAAGTGACAGCGCTGTATGACCCTTGTGTGTTTAGCTCTTAGTTGTGATTATAATAATAATAATCCTGTAAAGTCAAAATGTTGTGTTTAAATTTAAAGCTTTGTCTAGAAATAGTGTTTATTACCATATTGACAATTGCTGCTTTTCCCTGTGATCAAAGAACTTAGTATTATTCCAGTGAAGGCAATGTGGAGACTAAAATACTAAGTATTCAACCTTTCATTTTTTAGGATGAAAAAGAGACAAATGCAGTGTAATGTGATACTTTATTGACAACATTTTGCCCACACAGTGTGCTTTGATAAAGCTCACAGAGAAAAGCAAGTAGCCATAATGCTGAATGTAGTGCACAGAAGCGAGATTGTGTTGCCTTGATTGTAACAACGGACAGTTATTATTACAACAGTACCCTCAATTGCTTGACTCAGTGGATTTCGTCCAGTACAGTAGAACCCACATATCCGGGGATTTGGGCATCCATGGTGGGTCTTGGAATGTATCACCCTTGGATACAGGAGGGACTACTGGTAGTCTCCCCCATATCTGCAGGTGATATGTTCAAAGACCTACTGCAGATGCCCAAAACCATGGAAACTGAATCCGTGGATACTGTATTTTCATTGTTAAATCAAGAGTTGACTGTACCTACTTTTTTTTTTCCACTTCATTCTTGACCGTGACTTAGTTCAGGTGGCCTCTGTATATATTCTATATCCCTTATTAGTCCATGGTTGTATTCTCTGCATGGCAGGGTTCATTTGTTCCATACGTTTTCTCAGTTAACATTTTTTCTTTCTTCTAATGTATATACATTTTTTAAACTTTCCAAAACATATGAATGCAGATACAAGAAAGTCCTATAATGGTCATAAGTTATTTGTCCTACTCCTATAATTCAACTTATTTGATATTGACTTTACTAAAATTTCATCTTATTGCATAGTAAAAAAAAAAGGTGTTGCCATACTGGAATTTTATATCTTTTTTTTTCAGGAGGTCACATGTGAAAACGAGAAGCTACAGAGGATAGTACAGACAGCTGTAACAAAACTGTACGAATCCTTAGCACCAGTGACGTTAGGTATAAAGTAACAGTGAAAAAAGATGAGTATGAACTGTTTTCATAGTGTATTTGGAAAAAAAAAAAAAATTTAAGTATGAATACATTAAATAATCACACACATTCTTTGTATTTTATATTGATGAACAATTCAAAGTTTTGACAAATTTGTCTTCAGTTGTACAGATTAAGAAATTTATAAAATGTGTAAAAAGTTGTCTTAATTGGGTTAAAATTTTCAAAATGTTCCTAGTTGAGTCATTAAGTTCACAGTGATGAGTACAAGAACATTTGGAAATTTTACATAAACTGAAACATGTTTTTTGATGTATTCTTGGTTAGATCTTTATGAAGTCATATGCAGGAAAAGATGGAGAGGATATTTTAATGTTGAATGTTAGTGATAAAGAACTAGGCAGATGCAACATCATCTTAATTTGTAGACATTTTGCCATCCAGTGGCTTTATCAATACAAGGACATAATGTGAAGAATGTAGAATTTTAGACAAGAGATGAGGTAATCAGTCCCTCGGAGTTGGTGAAGAGCACCATAATCTTGAAGAATCTGAAGCATTCTTCAGAGTCTTCAATACTATGATGCTCTTCACCCACTCCGAGGCCGAAGGACAGATTACCTCGCCTTTTGTATATAATTCTACATTCTTTACATTATGTCCTTGTAGTGATAATGCCACTGGATGGCAAAAATGTCTACAAATTAAGATACCCAGATGTTGCATATGTCTAATTCTTCATCTTGTCAGTACTGTATACCATTCATGTACAGAATTAGTGGTGAATGGGAGGCAGGGATTTCATGTGTTGGGCAATGATGTCTAGGACCGTATAGGAGCCTGCGGTGGATATGGAAATAGTGCACAAGACAGTGGGTGGAATGAAAGAGTGTAGTAACTGGGGCAAATGTTAAAAACAGGTGGTTATACATTGTTCAAGTGGTAGATGTATTTGGTCACTATATGCATGAAAGACTGGAAGATACATAGGGATTATCAGAGAGCATAGCTCCTTGTATGAGGGATAATGGGACAAGAGAGAATGTAAGAATTACAAGGGAACGAGTATATTGGGTGGAGTGTATGATAGAATTATTATTGAAAGGGTTACAGTAAGACAAAGTAGACTTGCAGAGACACGGAGGATTTAGGAAGGGTAAGAAAGGTGTAGGCCATTGTTTATGCATATATGTGAACAGTACTTAGGTAATTGTAAAAAGCTGTTAGTTACATTTATGGATTTAGAAAAGAATTGTGATAGAATGAACAGGAGAGACTTTAAGCAGAAGTTGGAAATATTTGGAATAGGTGGTAGGTTACTAAGATCAGTCAAGAGTGAGGCTCTGGTTAGGATACATAGGAGGGAAGGAGACCATTTCCCAGTGAAAGTAGGATATCAACATGGTTATTTAGCATATTTATAGATGGGGTTGTAAAAAAAAAGTGAATGCAAGGGTGTTCGGGAGGTGTTGCATCTGATACGAAGTGGGAATTGTTCTTAACCGATGACAGTTCTTTTGGTTGATTGTGAAGAAAAGTTGCAAAGGTTGGTGGATGAATTGAAGAGGATATGTAAAAGGAAGAAATTAAGTGAACAGAAAAGAGCAAAGTGATGCGGGGTAATAAAAGGTCCCATCACCTTGCTCTTTTTATGTTCATTTATAATCTCTTGTTTTTATATACCTTCCCAAATTCCTCCATCAACCTATGCAACTTTTCTTCAGAATTTCCCAAAAGATACATGTCATCAGCAGAGAGCAATCTATGACAACTCCCACTTTGTGTCAGATTTGTTGTCCTTTAATCCTACACCTTATCATTTACTTTTAAAATCCCATCTATAAATATGTTAACCATGGCAACATGCATCCCTGTCTAAGGGTTACTTTTACTTGAAAATAACCCCCTCTCTCCTAAATACCCTAACACGAGCTTCACTATCCAAAAAACCCTTTTACTGCTTTTAGTAACCTACTACTTACTCTGTACACTTGCATAATCTGTTATATTACTCTATCCTCCCTGTCATACCTTTTCTCAATTCATAGATGCAACAAAAAGTTTTGTACTTTTATCTAGGTGTTGTTCATTCATATATTTTAATATACTCCTGGTTTACACAATCCCTATCCTTCCCAAAATCCTCATTGTTACTCTGTATTCCTACTTTTTTTGCCCTACCTTTAATTTTTTTTTCAGTAATTCTACCATACACTACCAATTTTACTCAACTTTCTATAATTCTTGTCCCTTTTTTTTTTCCTCTTTGTACAAAGAATATACTTCTTCTGCCAGTCCCTGGTTCCCCCCTTCATTCATACAATATTGAACAAATACTTTAAAAAATTGTAATCCCCACCTATTTTTTAAACATGTCTTTTTGATCCCAGCTGCCAAACCCCCCCCCTTTTTTATTCTACCAACTACCTCATCCCCAATAATGAAATTTTTGCTTTTAACTGCTAATTTGTTTCCCGTGTATGTATTTACAAAAAATTCACACTCCTAGTAGAGAGAGAAGGGGAAAGTTAGTGAAATTTTTTGATGCTATTTGATCAGTGGCATTTACAATAAGAACCGGGGTTATGATATTGACTGATTATTTGCTCCAACCCTTTTACAGCCCTGCTGCCAAAAAAAAACTTGTATGATGCAAGTCTTTTTTTCAGGCTAAAGCCCCCTTTGGGCCTGTTCGTGTATTGTGTATTCAAAAGTTTTTTCTAGATATTTAGTCCTGTCACCTTTGATGAGTTTAGCATTTGCCATGCCATAAAGTGTAAGTTTTTTCCCTGAGAATATGTTATGCGGGATCCTATAAGCAAATTGGTGTTCTTAAATTCTGGTTTTTTGATTGAAAGTCGCCGTGATGGCTGTGGCACAGAAGTTGTGTCTGAATTAAGGAACACCAATATGCTGAAAGGCCCCCACAACACCAGCTATGTAGGTAGTTCACAAATAAACATTGACAAAGGGTAGTGCAACAGGTAGAATGCACTTTAATTATAACAACACTTAAACTGACCAAGGTGGTTGTAGCTTAGCTAAACCACGGGCTTACATCATATACAAGTCTTCCAGTAGGGTTGTACAGGATTTTAAGCAAAAAGTCAGGAGAACCCCGATGTCAGTTCACAACATTGTCCAGGGGACCTCTTACCCGAACTCCAATAATATATGCTTTGAAAATAAAATATCTATACTACTAAGCCTATTATAAACTACCCTTTATAAAATTAATTTTTTCATGCTGTATTTTTTAGGAGAGAGGCAGGGGGCCCCTGTTGGTAAAAGCATGTGTGTCTGGGGAAATGCACTTGTGGGAAATACTGTGGGTAGCAAGGAAGGGAAGTTACCAAGACTGGAGTGTGGAGGAAGACTCACAGTTATAGCATTAAGGGAAACTTTGCCACAGGTGACTTCTTCAGTCCTAATACAGAAATGACTAAGAAAAGAACATATTTAGTGGGTGGAGACAGGTGACACACAGCATAGTGGATGTCACCTGCTGGCAGGCTTCTGTGGGATGGTGTTTGAGATTCCTATAAGCATTTTCATGCATGACTAGTCATCAATGGAAATGCTTAGAATCCTTCCTTAGAGCAATTGCAAACACCATCCCAAAGAAGTCTGGCAGGTTCAGCATCCCCAAGTATTTGGGAGTTAAAATGTTGACCAGACCGACACAGTCATCGGGTAATTGCAGTGGGAACTTTCATATCACCTGTCTCCATTCACTGTGTGTTTTCCCTTCTTAGCTGTCTTTCAGGACTGAAGAAGCCACTCAAGACAGTAGAAATGAAGAGGTAATTTGAGATGGTCAGTTCCTTAGTTTGAAGCAAATGCTAAGCAACTGGAGATAATGTCACAGACAAGTGTGGCTCACTGGTAGAAGTAGGTCATGCATGACCTACATCCACTAGGGACCCACACCTCACTTCTGCTTTAGGCTAAATGACTGACCACCCTCAAAACTGCCTCTCCACTTGTCTCCAGTGCTATATTCATCTTATCACAGAAAGCCTGTGCAGCAAAACATTACTATGAAGATAACTAAATGTTGCACATGCATCTTAGTCATCAAATGTTATAACTGTACATGTGTCTTCCACATATTATTGGTATTACCATACCTTGTACAACTAAGACTGGAGTGTTATTCAAACCTCTAGAATTATTCTCTTAGCCCAAACTCATTCTTCTATCCTAAACAGGGTAGATAATTAGGCCAAATTTGAGCCTTTCCAGAGCCTAATAAATACATAGGACATTAACATTTTCAGTGGAGGAACTCATAATCCTCAAGTAACCATACAGCCCTAAGTCTCTCACAAGCGGAATGAGGAGCCAAGATGTAAAACAGTGTAGCTCAAGACCTAGCAGTTTGTTTCCCAATCATTTAGATTTCACTTGTAAGTAGGAATAATGACCGAACTTGCTTTTGTTAATTCATAAAAAACTATTAAAGATATGGCAAAAGTCACAAGAGTAAAAAGGTCTTAGAATAGACCACTCTATAACATGCTAGAAGCACATTCAAATCCCTTTAATATTTTGATGAACAAATGCTAAAAAGCTAAATGTTTTCATAAAGACAAAGAAACAAGTTGCAGAACAATTAGGACATTATTTTGGAATACACATGCCAAGAGCATCTTCATAAAGTTAGATTGACGTGCCACCCATGAATCGATGTTAACAAAAATGTACAATATACGTACACTAAACTCTTCAAGAGAGGTTGATGCAGGTGAGGGGCTTTTTTTCATCCAAGGAATGAAACTTGAATGCCTTCCTTTTCCTCAGTGGCTGTATGACTCGTATGGGTTTTACTCTCCATGAATGTAATAATTACATTCATGGGGAATGGTAAACCCTTAGGGGTTACACATCACCTGGGAAATAGAAAGCAATCATATTTGATCGGGGAGGGGGGGTTTATCCAATTAATTTGATTATTTAAGAGCTTCCCTGCATCAAATAGCCTCCCTTGATGGGATTAATACTTTAGAGGCCTTCAAGCAATGATGGCCTTACCAAAATCACAGGTGAAAGAGACCATATGGATTAGATGAGAGATTTCCTAATCAGTGCACAAATAACCCACACACAGGATAGAGGAGCTTATGACGTTTCGGTCCAACTTGGACCATTACAAAGTCACGCTCTTAATATTGGTACAATTACCAACAATATGTTAAGTAAAAGGACACAAGTGCAACTAATGTGACATTTTACTGTGGCAACGTTTTGCTCTCCAGGAGCTTTGTCAAGCGTTACTCCTGGAGAGTGAAACGTTGCCACAATAAGAGATAAGATAAGATAAGATAAGATTTCGTTCAGATTTTTAACCCCGGAGGGTTAGCCACCCAGGATAACCCAAGAAAGTCAGTGCGTCATCGAAGACTGTCTAACTTATTTCCATTGGGGTCCTTAATCTTGTCCCCCAGGATGCGACCCACACCAGTCGACTAACACCCAGGTACCTATTTGCTGCTAGGTGAACAGGACAACAGGTGTAAGGAAACTTGTCGAAATGTTTCCACCCGCCGGGAATCGAACCCGGGCCCTCCGTGTGTGAAGCGGGAGCTTTAGCCACCAGGCCTGTCGCATTAGTTGCACTTGTGTCCTTTTACTTAATGTAAAGTCACACTAACAGAAAGGAGAGAAGCCAATATATATATACAGTATATGCAAGCTGGCAGTGATGGGACAAGAGAGATGTATTATCTCATTGTTTGTGTTAATGCTATTCAAACACTGTAGAAACTTTGATGATTAAGTTTCTCTGTCATGTTCTGTTTATAATGTGTTAGGTTTTAGAATGCCTGAAAATGCTCTGCATAAGCAGGGGTTTTCCATGTATACTATTAAATGTCATCCAATTTTGTAAACTTATGTATCATGTGGTAATAAAGTATTATTATCATCAGACCTGAGTTTCACTGTTTTTGATCTATATGTAGTGTGTGTGTGAGAAATGACAATCCATATAGAAAGTTACACAGTTTCTGACTATAAATCACAATGTGACAGTTGTAGACAACTGGCATACTGAGGATCACAGTTGGCACCTTGAAAAGCTTCCTATAATATACAAAAATATACCTAGTTTGAATAATCCTACCCTAATCCCTGGTGCAGTAGGTAATACACTGGCCTCTTAGTCATTGGACTGCTTTGCCATGAGTTCCAGCCCTCCATGTGGTGTTTTATTTACACAATTTACACTTACCAATTAATGAAGATTCTAGCTGTGCTTTATCAGTAGAGGAGCCAGGATGACCAGTGACACATCTAGTGGCAAAACTGACATATTCTACCTGTTGCAGACTTTGCTGACATATTGAAGTGCTAACATTTTCAACCTTTAAGTAGTTCCTTTTTCCTGCCCTTTCCTCTCACTTCTTCCAGAAATATGTACACATTATTTCTTTTGATTGATTGGTATGGTGAGTCCTCAAGGTATTTGATTATCTGAAATACAAAACCAGCATCAGAAATCTGTTTGAACTTGAATACAAAGTTATTTCTAATTGGTTCAGACTTTTGAAATATCCTGTCACTGAGCCAAGAAAATAGAATTACTCTCCCCTTCCTCAGATCAAACCTAATTACACCTCTACTAAATATTTTACATAAAGAAGGTCCCAGCTAATACAGCAGGTTAGGTTCTGGGCTACTCATAGTGTAAACATGTTAGCAGGCATATTTTTTACTTCCCTTTCCACCTGATCACTGGACTATTAATAGTTCACCATTTATACACTATAAGTTGGATTGAGAAAAATGCTTAAAACCACTCTGTTACAAAAAATGCGATTCTAAAAGCTTAGAGATCTCCAGTGAATACTAGAAAGGACTGCCCTTCTAGCATCCAGCCTGTTACTGGGTTTTTGTAACAAGTAGTCAGTATCCTTGTCCAATTATCCATTAGAATTCAGTATAATTCAATAGTGCTTCAGGATTACAACTGGTAGGATACTAACTAGAGAAAATAAAAGTTAATAAATTTATTAGTCATTAAGTTGTCTAGGCATATATCAAATTAAATTAAATTAATAATAATCACAGTAATCAAAATAATATTAATCACTTCTCTCGAGTACAGTATTATTGTGCTGAAAGCACATATCGCATTTATAATTCTTAAGTACCGTCTGGTACATTAACATTTAATAAGATATTACAAATATGTACAAGTGTGTGTGTGTGTAAGTGCTCTAAGTAGTTCGCTATGTCTCACGACTCGACTAGACTTAAACAAGTGACTGACAAAGACCTCAAATAAACTAACTTCTTGACCAACTGGCAATCAGAACAGTCTGCTTGAACAACAAAAAGAATGCTAAGCCCAATAGCAATATAACAAGCAACTGCGACACAGAATCAGGAACAAGGAGATAATATAACGACACTAAGTAGGGACCATCAGCAGATCCTCCACAAAAGTCACAAAACTCCCATACTACTGAATCTAAGTTCAGCATAAGAAAATACCCGACTGTGATAATACACAGATACCAGGAGAAGTTAGGTCAGAAGCTACAGCTCAGGACCTGAGTTGCTCAGAGTGTCTAAGAGACACACAACCTCAGTACAACGTCGAAAATCACTAAGTCTATACAATGTTCTGTGAACAGAGTTCTACAGAACTACCCCTCAAGGAAGGTTCCTTGATGTTGGTGAGGGGCTCTTGATTTAGGGAATTGGATCTGTGCTCCAGTTCCCCGAATTAAGCCTGAATGCCTTCCACATCCCCCCCCCAGGCGCTGTATAATCCTCCGGGTTTAGCGCTTCCCCCTTGATTATAATAATAATCTACAGAACTAACAAGAATAATGAGACAGACAATCTGTCCAACCACCAAGAGAGTCTAGACCAGACTGAATACTTCAGGCGAGGTGAGGACACCCCCCCTCGATCACGTGATAGCTCCGTGGACAGCTGCAGCTCAGAAACAGAAGCCGGCAGTCTAACGAGCCACAAGCGATAATTACAGTAGTTAGACAATCAAGACTTGAACTGAGCACATGTTACATCCTACCTAACAAAATTTAACTAAGTCAAATAATAATAATATAAAGCAATATATTTACGATTTAGCTATTATTGCAAATATAAGCAATATAAAATTATATGAAAAGATAATTATATATATACATAATAATCATTGCAACCCACTCAGGGGTTGCAACACACTCCAATTGAACTATTTTTTATCCTATTACAGAATATGCACTTTAAAATATCATGAGTTAGTTTTAGCATTAATAGTATAAGGCTGTTTTTTCCTCAGATTTCTTAAATGTTTGAACATCTTTTATAGCACATTTTATCAAAACTCTTCTAACCTTCCATGAAAACTATATATACATGTAATAGTAATAATATCTTTATTTACTACAAGTACATGTACAAGGCATACAGTCCTAGCTGACATCAATGACATACTACTACAGAAAGCCGCTTGTTATACTGAACATTTTGGGCAAATTAGATCAGTGTCCCAGGATGCGACCCACACTAGTCGACTAACACCCACTGGAACGAATTAATGGCATTTCATTTTAATTTAAATGAGGAAAATTGATTTGATATACTAGCAAAATGAGTTACAAGCTGGGTTACAGAATGGATTAAACTCGTAAGTTAAGGTACCACTACTATTTTTTATGCTGAATAAGAATATACACTTAAAAGGGTAAAATCAGATCATTTTTAGCATCATACAAGGCACAGAAAGTACTGGAGAAGGCACTATTGTTAGTACAAGTGCAGAAGATAGTAAAGCGACGGAAAAACATGCACCAGTAGGGAATGCAGTCATGCAAAACCAAGGCAAACAGAAATCAGACCTATGTAAATTCTATGCATTAGGTATCTGAAGGCATGGAAAAATAGACCACTCTCTGGAAAATCTTTCAGCTCCTTCCCCAAACATCTTGCTCCTGGGGGGATTTCAACCTAAGGCACCTAAAATGGAGGAATGTAGCAAATAATGCTGTAGCAGAGATAACCCCAGGAGGCAGCTCAGATGAAAACTCGCACACACGCACACACGCACACACACACACACAAACACACACGAGCTTTTAAAAATCTGCAGCAAATTCACCTTACACCAGTAAATAATAAAGCCAACAAGATTGGAGAATACACTGGACCTCATCTTCACTAACAATGATCTGATACGAAATATTACCATATAAAAAGCAATATACTCAGATCACAACATAATAGAGGTTCAGACATGTATGTGTGGGGCCCCAGACCTACAAAATATGATTAGTCACAAGGGAACCTTCACCAAATTCAACTTCAATAACAAAAACATAAGGTGGAACCAAGTCAACCAGGTCCTAAATGATATAAACTGGGAAGATATCCTAAGCAACAGGGATCTAAACCTATGTCTAGAACAAATTTACTTTATGGCACTCGAGGTATACTCAAGGCATATTCCATTTAGAAAGAGAAGATGTAAACTAGAAAAAGAAATGACTCAAGAAATCGTAATGACACGATTGCAAATAAACCATACCCCCGGCCGGGATTGAACCCGCGGTCATAGAGTCTCAAAACTCCAGCCCGTCGCGTTAGCCACTAGACCAGCTAGCCACAATAAGATTCATCCAACTAGGTATATTTCTACACCATAGGAAAGTTAGCACAGGCACCTCTGTGACCACAAATGCAAGTTTTTACAGACGAACCTCCAGCTAGCGTGGCCGTGACGAACTCTAGCTCAAGTCCCTTCACTGCCGTCAACATGACTCAAGAAATCGTAATGACACGATTGCAAATAAACCATACCCCCGGCCGGGATTGAACCCGCGGTCATAGAGTCTCAAAACTCCAG